CGACGGGCCCCCCTCTGCTCCCAGGGGCTCCCTGGGGCTCGGGTGCAACCAGAGTGCTCCTGCGAGGTACCATAGAACCCAGGAGAGTGAGATGCAGCTGTGAAGTCTGGCTCCTTCCCTTTCTCTGTCCAGCCGTGTCATCCGGTGAGATGAACAGGCTCTTTCCTTCTTCCATTCTCCAAAATTGTATTTCCATTTTTAAAAGTGATGATGTTTGCTACCAGTAAATGTTGAAGATGCGATTTTCAGATCTGTCTGCACACACAGAAAGCATGTGTGAGGTCACTGAGAGAGTTGTTTCCAGCTTCTCTTTTTTTTCTTCTTTTTCCTTTTCAGGTCTTTCTTTACAATTGCAAATTGCAGATCTGGTCTAGACTTGTATAGCATTGTACTTTGTCCAAGTTTCCCTTAATGTGTGCAAGGGAACATGTAACTTGCATTTGCAATCAATGTTAGTTATATTTGTATTCTGAGAAAAATGACAGTTCATCATGAAATACCATCGTGAGTAACAGTGTCTTGGCTAATTAAGGGAAAGCAAAACTTCATTATTGCAATTTTAAACAGCAAAAAAGAATGTCCCAGAGTGGAAGACTGAAGAATACAATACTTTCCCTCTAGACACTGTGGGTTTCTGTGTAACAGAATTACCCCACTCAGCTGTGAATATGTAAATTGTACTTGAAAAAGGTAGATTTCTAGCTGAAACCTGCACTGACCTTTACAAATTCCCAGTTCTAACAAACAGTCACAGAATCCCAGTTGGTAAATAGATTTTTCTCTTCGTGTTCCCACAGGCACAGATCTCCAACTACGGCAGCGTGAGGCACAGCAGCATGAGGTACTACACAGCAGACAAGAACGTCACCTGCAGGAACTGTGGCAGAGCAGGTCACTTGTCCAAGAACTGTCCTGCTCCAAAGGTAAAGGCAACACTTCAGTTACTTGGAGATGCATCTGTTAGTTCTAATACTCATTTGTGGCTGCCATTAAAAGCATTGCTTCAGCAGTTTATGCTCATGGAAAGGTTGTTCCAGGTTGAAGGGCAGCTTGCACAAGGTCAGCTCACTGTATAACACTGGCTGGCTGATGGGTGGAAGTCATGGCTTTTGCTGTTTTTATAATCTCTGCAAGTCCTAGTAAGCAGTGGACATTTATTTGGGGTGATTTCTTCTTCATTTCCTCTTTTATTTTTCTCTTTTCTTTGATCTTTTGAAACATTCTCACTCGACAATTTCTTTTTTTCATTTCTCCACAGAAAGTTCCCCCTTGTTGCCTGTGTGCAGGAAGAGGGCACCTACAGAACAGCTGCCCAGCACGTTTCTGTTTGAACTGCTGTTTGCCTGGCCACTATTTCAGGGAGTGTCTTGAGAGGGCCTACTGGAATAAGCACTGCAATCGCTGTGACATGAAGGGCCATTATGCTGATGTGAGTATAGCCCACAAAACAGCTCAGCCATTGCTGGCTATGTGTCTGTCAGACACTGCATTTACAACAACCACGGTCTTTTAATATTTTCTTTAGTTTTATATAGGCTGTACTTGTATAAGCATTTGAGAGTATTGTAGTAATTATCTGACAGTATAACAGTTTTCATGAAGAGTGGCTCAAGGAAAGCAAATTGGAACAGTTTACTTTTTGTCCAGTTTAGTTAGGGTGGTGAGAAATGTCCTCATTTCTGTGGAGTGGAAGGTATAAGGAGACTGAAATCAGGGGACACGGAATTCCACAAGAGGTGAAGAATAACTCTGATGCTCCAGCAGTTCTGATACGTGGATTTTTCACTAGGATCACGTATTTATCAATTAAAATACTACTAGAACTTCAAGCTAATGTGTAAATGGTTTTATAACTGTGCTATATTAACGTTGCAAATGTACTTTTTGAGCAAAATTGAAATGGTACACTTTATTATGCAGGTATAGGTGAATAACAATTTTATCTGACATTAGCTTGCAAGGAAGCAAGTCATAACCATATTCACATGCCTGCTTTCCAGTAGAGTCCTCTATTATTTATGAACATGCAAGAAGAAAGATAATGATGAAATTATTTGTCTCTCTACTTCTGTATCCCTATGGGCAGGCCCATCACACATATACTGAAAGAGAATTTGTGAAGTAGTGGAACAGTTGCAAAATAGTGTACTCTGCTATTGAGAGAAAAGCACTGATAGAAGCGTTTAATGTCTGGAAACTACTGATGTTTTGTCTTAACCTCACGGGAGCCACGCTGATGTTTTCCATCTTCATTTCTGTCATTCACATCCCAACTTCTCCTGCTAAGACCAGTGCAGCTCATGCAGGTCAGATGGATGCTCTGGTGGTCCTCTTGCCAATCAGTCTAATTCCTCATTCCTTTTATGTTATGCTGCCTCTATATCACAAGCACTAGAGAGAAAAAAGTATTCAGTGCAAATAAAAATCTCCATCCTATATGTAACAAAACAACATTTCAGAGGTGCTGGCCAGCTTGCATCCATACTCACAGTACAAATGGTTCTGTCAAGTGGGAGTGTGGGAGCTCTCCTATCATCTTCTAAAAGATTGGACACTCATTTTATTTCCCAGCAGGTGCTTGGCTGCTTGTTTGAGCAGCAGGTTGAGCAGCATGATGAGAGAAGGGCTTCTCTTTATTATTATTGAGTCACCATCCCTGGAAGTATTTAAAAGAAATGTACATATAGTGCTTAGGGACATGAGTTAAGCACTGAACACGCAAATTAGCTTATGGTAGGGGGATTTAAGTTATGGTTGGACTTGATAATCTTCAAGGTCTCTTCCAACCATTGTGATTCTATGACTCTACGATTTTCTAGGGAGATGCAGGCCCTATAGAACACAAACATTCTGCTGTTAGATTTTACTGAGCCTTCCGAGTTGTCTTGGATAAATGAATGAGTGACTTAGCACTAAACCATGTATGAAAATATTAAAAATATTCGAGTACTGTCAGGATGATGAGGGATATTAGAAGTCATCCAGGCACAGTGTATTCCCTGCACTAAAGACTAGGTGGGAGATGAGGTCGTGTGACTTCATTTGGCAGAGACTTTTTCTCAAAACTTTTCATTTAAATGATACCATGAGGGAAACACATTCTGCAGTGCATGATCTCCTTTCAGCTCTCCTGAATGCATTCTGAATCAAGCAGAAACTGTTCTGCTCTTGACAGTCTGCCCAAAGCTGGTTTTACTACCTGTGAAAGTTAGCAAGTGTAAGAAAGATGTAGAGAGGCTTTATACCAAGTCTGGTTGTGACAGGTCAAAGGGCAATGGTTTTAAAGTAAAAGAGGGTAGATTTCGGTGAGATATAAAGAAATGGTGAGACCCTGGCCCAGGTTGCCCAGAGAAGCTGTGGCTGCCCCATCCCTGGCAGTGTTGAAGGGCAGGTTGGATGGGGCTTGGAGCAGCCTGGAATGGTGGAAGGTGTCCCTGCCCATGGCAGGGGTGGGACTGGATGGGCTTTAAGGTCCCTTCCAACCCAAACCAGTCTGGCATTTTAATATACCACACAGTAGCTTAGGTCATTTCCATACTAATTGCCAGGAATCCTGGCAATACGATGACAGTTTTAAAATTGAGTCCCAGGGAGGGCTGGGCAACCAGGCCTGCGAGCCCAAATTCTACCAAGGAAATTACCAGGACTGCAGTGACAGTGGCGTGTTGGAATGGCTGTATAAATATGAGGTGTGTGGGAGGATTCAGGATTGTTTTTGTAAAGGAAACCCCACTGCTCAGAAATCTCTGGAGTCATTCAAAGGAGAAGGTCAACAAGCATGTGTGTAAACATGGTCCAGTTGACATAGTCTCCATTTTCCAGAAGGCATTTGACAAAGTTCCTGACCAAAAGCTTTTAAGGAAACTAAACAGCCATGGAATAAGAGGATGAAGGTGGATATGCTAAAAGAGGATATGATAAAAGAGGATATGTTAGCGTGACATGGAAAAGGGTGAACAGTAGGGTGACAAGATTTGCTGAGAAGACTGAATGATTTAGAATATCAGTGCTGTGAGCCAACTCTGAAGAAGTGCCCAAGGTCTGTAAGAAATGGAGGGAGGACAGAGTAAAATGGCAGATGAACTGAGTGGCAATAAAGGTGAAGTGCCCAGGGAGAAGTAATCCCATCTTTGCACATGGATTGATGGTCTCTGAGCTCACTGTTACCATTCAGGACTCAGAGTTATGAGTTATGATCCCAAAAAAGTCATCTCAGTGGTCAGAAGCTGTGGAGAAAAAAGCTGGTGAAACGTTAGGAACTGGCAGGAAAACAATGGACAGCTTGGGTCCCTCCTGGTGTCTTAAAGCACAGCTACAGGTCTTCAGCCTGGGAGAGGGATGACAGAGAGAAGGATCTGTAAAGAGCGTCAAAGTCATCCATGATGGGAGACAGAGGTTAGGGTTCAACTGTTCATTGTTTCTTCCAGCTCAGGAATTAAGGGGCATCTGATGAAGGTGGTAGGAGGCCAGTTCAGAAGTGAAAGAAGGAGGTGACCCTTCCTGCACTATGCAGCAGACCTGGGAGATGAGACTTCTCACCGTGGGATGCAGTAGATGCAGAAAGTCTGCTGTGGTTCCAGGGGAGGCTGGAGACATTCATGGAAGAGAAATCCATGGAAGACTGTAGAACACACAGAAATATCATCCAGCTTGTGTAGTCACTGAGGTTGAAACAGTTGAGCATGGAAGAGTGTTGGGAGAGGACCTGAGCTTGCCCTGTTCTTCAGCTCTGTGGGGCATCAACTCATGGCCACCGTGGGTGGTCCAGTGCAGTGTGGTCATTAATACTTGCAGTCTACATCAGCTGATCATAGCAGGTCTCTGTGTCTGTATCTCTGCTATTTACTTTCTGTGAAGAATTATGAGTTTTCCACAAGGCATTTTGTCAAAAACCTGGAAGTGTTTCACCCAGCCAAGTTACTGAGACTGCTCACCACCCACCTCTCTGTTGGGATGTTCCTGGTGTCTGTAGGAGCTGGACGAGACCACAGGTTTTGCTCTGAGTCTGCAGATAAATGAGATGAGTCCAACATTCCCCAAGTTCCCAGAAATACTCTGGAAAAGCGACTGCAGCCTTCAAAGACCAGATCTTAATACAGTGTTGGGAAGAAGACTTATGTATTAGTCTTTGGGTACTTTGGATGCTCAAAAATTTGTCTTTCTCAGAAAGTTCCTTTGCTTTTACTGTCATGCAAAGGATGCAGAACAAGCTCCTGTGCACATTCTGTTTCAGAGTGACTCTCCATGGTCACACTTTCGTCCAGAAGTTAACACGAGGCAGCTCAAGGTACTTCACCTAGTTCAACTTGAAAATGTTCAAAGTTATGAAACATTTTCAGGAAAATACATTTATTATCTGTTAGGTCAGTCACTCTCCCTGAAACAGCCCAGAGAATGGGAGTCATCTTAGATGGAGTTGTGTTGGAGGAAGTGCAACCTTCCTCTTTTTCTCAGAAGCTCATCAGAGGAGCAGGGAGCAGAGCTCTTCAAAGGTTTCCAGCATGTCTCTGTTGGACCATCCACTGCTCCCCAGGGAAAGA